TTTCAGTGCAGACAACATGAAGAGATATGTTTTTTACTTGAATTCTTGGGATTATGACAGTAATAATTCACACCAAAATTTTGTCAAGGTATTTTAAAAGTAAAAAAGTTTCCTATCTACAGTTATATTAGCCTCAAAATATCGCAATAAATATTGTACCGTGAGATGCATATCGTGATAATATCGTACCGAAAGATTTGGATATCGTTACACCCTATTCAATAACCATAATTTTAAATGTATAACAATACTACTATTACTACTACTACTGCTTCTGCTACTGCTACTGCTACTTATTTTTATTATGAGTGAGTAGGAGGGTTGTTGACATTCAGATAATACTGTAATACTTGTAATACTATGATCCAATATAATGCACTCTGGGTGTCAAAGTAAAGTAAAGTTAAAAATGTTGAATAAATAATGTTGGAAAAAAAAAAAAAGTTACTAGGGTTGGGTATTAAGAAGTTGCCGATGCGATACATACCTCGATACATAGGCTACGATACGATACATAGCTCGATACAGTGCACTTTTGATTCGATATGATGTATTTCAAAACAATTCGAAACTGTTCGGTAAACAACTAATGGTTAAATCAGGTTGTGACACGAAAAGTCTTTGTTAAACCACTTCTTGTGCAAAGTTCATATGAAACACGCCCATTTTAATCATCAAAACAGTTAAAATGTCCAATGTGTTGCATAAACGATTTTCCTTCCTCCAAACAAGCAACAAAACTGTAGCTCTGTAATAAAATAATTTAATAAAATATACAAAAACATATGATATATCGATACAGCAGCCCATGAAATCAATACTGTATCATCACATTAAATGCACCTTTAAGGAAGTATTCAGATGCAGCGGTCTACATGTTTGGTAGTAAGGATCACTTTGTTTGCGTTTGTGTGTAAGTGACAAGAGATAAAGTAGCCTACACATAATCCCCCCACTCCCCTATATAAACATGCTTATCAGAATGTGAAACCAGACATGGAGCGAGCCCAGTTTAAACAGGGTCACACAATCTTCCATACTGACCAGGACGGCGGGGAGGGTCCCAGCTTTGAGATACCATAGTTTGACTAACGTTATCAGCAGTAGCCTTTTCTGTGTATACATGCGTAGGTTCAGGAGACAGGATAACGCCGGCATGTCCAGTGGCCGGCTGCTCTGCGCTGTGTTCAGTGACCATCTGGAAAAAGTCAAAACTGCAGTGTGCGGTGATAAAAATCCTTTCCTTTTTGAAAAATGGTGCTGGTAGCTGGAGTCCCCGTCCGCTGTGTGATGAATGGAACATGGCAGAGCTTTGAAGTGGCAAAAACAGGGGAAGCCCACACCTCTTAGTAATACTGGGAGTCCTCCAGATGGAAAAGGCATGTGTGGAGATTAAATTAACACGTAACTCTGGGCGGGATTGTTGTAGTTAACTGGGATTTTGACATATATAGAAACAGTTCAAAACGTCAATTTAACAGCTTAACAGTTTTTAAATACGATTGTTTACTACACTAGCAGTCAAAAGTTTGGACACACCATCTGATTGAGTGTTTTCTTCTTTTCCTTCTACATTTTATATACACACACAGGAGACATCAAATATATGAAGTGCAATATTTGGAATTTTGTCAATACATCTCGGCTAATCAAAATGAAATGACTTTACCTTGAGTTGTGTACAGAGAATAAAGGAGATAGTCTAATGAATAAAACTGGGCTGTGTGTGTTTGCGTGTGATACATAAATGGGAGAATCTAATTAGAAATGTATACATTTGAATTTTGGAGTGAAAGTTATTTTGTGTTTTTGTCTGATTTGATTAGACGAAACAGATAAGAATGTCAAAAGTATAAAAAAATCTGATATCAGTAGGTACTAAAAATACTAAGAATATCAAAACTAGATTTGAGCAGGGGTCGATACTAAACAAAGTCACATTCACAGAACAGAAATAGACATTTGCTGAATGAATTGCTGAATTTTTTTTTTTTTTTTATATTAGAAGTGCCTTTCTTTTAGGTGGTGACCAGGTTTTTGGGGCTTAAAAACCCCAGGATGGAAATGTTGAATATGCTCCGCCATAGCGTTTCCATCTACACTGCCCAAGATGCAAAACTCTGTTCAGATCTGCAAACGTCACGTACACGTTTACGTCACATACAACATTTTTGAGTCACCGTATGCTCGTAGATTCCCTCCCGAAAACGCTCGTCTAAACGCGAAATACAAAGTGAAGACGCAACGCCACTTTTGTGTCTTCTGTTCAGACTGTCATCATAAAACGTAGCCTTAGTAAGACCTTGAGCTGTATTAGAACAAGACCACACAGACTAGTACACACCCATGGACCATTCAACATTCTATTGTCTAAATAAAGTGTTTTATTATCATTGAGTATCGAGTCTATTCCTTAGTATCGAAATAAAGTTTGAAGTTTTAATATCGTATCAACATCCCAATCCATTTTTTCTCATTGCTTATAAACAGTACCTGAAAATGAAAACTTTTTACACATATTCTTACTTAAAATTTTCTTACAAAGTACAATCCAGTTTGACATATTTCCCACTTTTTGCCAGGAACCCAAAACATATCTCCACCTATTGTCTGACAGAACCTACGTATATATTCCTACTGCCAATTTCCCCATCCCCTCCTATGTCTCATGAAATATGTATTTGAGAACAATTTGACACTTCTCTCAGATTGTTATCAAAAATGGCTCCCTAGATTGCAGCTTTGCACCGGCTTAGTTTTGGTCCGCACACACAACCCTGTCATTACGGATTAGTCGGCTTGAATCTAAGGAACACGCGTTTTTACTATAGCTCTTTAAACTTCTACTCTTGGGACTACTTTTTGTCACATTCTCCGCCACACAGGAAGAGGAGATAAGTCCTTTTTGATTAAATACTGGGACCTCTTTGTTTAGCTGCAGATCACAGATAGTCGATTTGAGATACGTGTGCGCTTATCTGTGTATAGTCTGAGCCAGTGGTGGAATGGAGCAAAGTAAAAGTAGTATAGCAGTGTACTTAAGTATAAACTTTAGGTCTCTGTACTTTATTTGAAGGTGTGTTGTGTAATTTTATAACATTAAACAGCTCAACCTTACATTGTTACATTACAGGTGGTTTTATAGCTCAAAAATACCTAGAATTTTAGACATTCTGACTGTGAGCGGGGTCGCCTCTTCACAGATCTGATCTGTAACTTGGTCTGGTTTGGTTTCCATGAGGATAGAAAGGTTTAACATTCCAGACAAAGCAATAACATCTCCATGAAGAAAAGATTTCAACAGATTCTCCACCAGAAAAATAACACAATGCAGCTTTAAATACATTTCGAGTCGGTACTTTTACTTTCTACTCCACTACATTTTTGAACAGGACTGAAAAGTACAAATACTTTTAGCATTTTAAACCTGCTGAAAAAGTGGGGGGTTTCAAAAATATAGTTCAAAAAACAAAAACAAGTAGAGAAAATTCAGCACAACACTTGTACTTTTACTTGTATTTCTTTTGCTCCAGTGTCTGTACTTTTACTTAAATTACAAAATCCGTTGTTTTCCGTGCGGTTGGGACCTGTTGCTAGGGCCCTGGGTGGTTCATTTTGTTGGAAGGCTCTGCGGTGGCTTCACAGATGAGAGTTTGTTGAGTCTTGCCCTGTGCATGATGGGAAACCAGGTGCGGAGCGAGAGGTCCCGTTTGCACAGTGCCCAGGGTGATTCACTGCGGGCTGCCGATCGGGTGCTGAACCAAATAAACAATACAAAGGATATCGGAAAAAGAAGGTAGTTTGAGGAAATTTCGAAAAAATATATAAAAATAACTGCAGTTCCTTCTCAATTTTTCTGTTTTGTGACTTCGGTTTGGTAAGGGTGACTTGGTTTAGCGGGGTGCATTGAATTTCTATGATGAATGCTAGAGGCTAAAGGAGAAGGAGTTGGTCAGCGAAATTGCATTCTGCTTACTGGGAGCACAGGTTAGATTAAAGTGGGATTGCTTGTATTTTTTGGGGGTTTATTTTCGTGCGCGTGAAGGGGAAAGGGCGAAGTGCAAAATAACAATCTCTACCTCTGGCTCGGAAGTTGTTAGAAACTCTTGTTTAGGTGCTGCTTCATTGTAGAAAATGAAATGAGTGCACTCTGCATTTGACCCATTTCTAATTGCCAGTAAAGCAACCCAGCTCCTGCACTCACGGATAGGGTCCAAAAAAAAAAATAAAAAAAAAAAAAAGAAGAAAGAAAGTAACTAATTTTACCTTTTGTTTAAAAAATTACATTATATCAGAGGTTCGACTTGGAAATCATGACTTGGACTTGAATCAGACTTCAGTCACTATTTTTAGGACTTTAGACTTGACTTGATAAAAATGGACTAAGACTTGGGACTCGACTTGGACTTGAAGGTCAGTGACTTGGGACTTGACTCGGACTTGAGGCCTGTGACTTGAGAAGACTTGAGAAGAATCTGAATTCTTTCTATTTTGACCATAATAATTCACACTAAGATCTTGTCAAGAAAAGAAAAAGGAAAAAAAAAAACTCAATTAATTTCTACAACTCTTACATATCCTATAAATACTCAAATATAAATATACTACGATTTTTTAAAGTACAATTTATCTCAAAATTCATATAAATTGCCAAAATCTAAGCTATATTTAGTACTTTGGTTTAAAGACTTGAAATGACTTGAAGCTCAAAGCAGACGACTTGGACTTGACTTGGACTTATGGGCCACTGACTTGAGACTCAACTTTGACTTGGCCTCTGCATTATATAGTCTAAAAAAGTGTGAGGAGAACATGCAAACCCCAAATTAAGCCCAGCTGAAGTATCAAACTTGGGATCTTACTGCTGTGGGGCAAGATTGAGAACCACCGTGCCATCAAGCCACATTGTTAAAGTGCAAACATAAACACAACTCAGTAAAATCGTGACTTCTATGGAGATAAAGTATATATTTTGACCTCTGCATCTTTCTTCTGTGCAGCGTGCGGACGTGGATTCTACAAGTCTTCGTCCCAAGACCTGCAGTGCTCCAGATGCCCCGCCCACAGTTTCAACGACCGCGAGGGCTCCTGGAGGTGTGACTGTGAGGATGGATACTACCGCGCGCTGTCCGACCCGCCCTCCGTGGCCTGCACCAGTAAGTCCCTGTCCACACATTTCACTTTTCCCAGTCAAAAGATACGCTACTTTGTTTGAAATTGTTAATTAGTTAGCAATTGTAATTTTTCGTCATTCTGAAACCTCATAGATAAGAACCAAGGGATGTGGTTTTGGAAATCTTGACAAATCTTTTAATTTTTTGTATTTATTTTCAAACAAACCAAAATTTGCCAGTTATAGGAATAAATACACAATGACACTGCGTAGTTTTCATATTACTGTATTTTTTGGACTATAAGGTGCACTTAAAATCCTTTAATCTTCTCAAAAATAGACATTGCACCTAAGCTTTATGTATTAATTCTGGTTGTGCTTACTGACCTCAAACCAATTTTATGTGGTCCACGGCACTCAAAAGTCTGTCAAAATGTGTTAGTAAGACTTTGGAAGACTTTACGAAGCTGCACCACTTGATGAACTTGTCGGAGCATTACGGCTACTATAGTCAGGAGCCTCACGGAGTAAATGAATCGTGTCCATTAGTCCGACAGAAGCTGACCGCATCAGCACAACAGGAGCAAGCTGTATTTTTTCAGCGCTCATAGTTTATGCAAATGAGCCATGTGGTTTTTAGTTTTGTTTCTGTAAAACGTAAACAAATGTGCTCAAAGCTGCAATAAACACATTATTACTCAATGTATATTTGAGTCCTCCATGCAGGGAATAAAAAAACAAACAAGCTTATCTGCCAGTGGATCGTGGATGCCTGGCCTAAGGGATCAGTCTCAAGTGTCGTCTGTTGTTTTGCTTAATGCGCCTTATAATCCCGTGCACCTTATGTATAAAACTGGATGAGGAAATTCAACATTATTGATCTTGCACCTTATAATCCAAAAATATGGTAACTGACATCCATGAAATTCTAATAATTTATTCATTTTTAATACAATGTGACCTAAAATACAAATTAAGCATTTTTATTTTTATTTAGCATTTTGCATAAGCTGCATTGTGGAACTTTTTTGGTGTCGGGTCCGTCAAATACTTTTCCCCATTGAGATGTTATTGCTTTGTATGAAATGTTTCACAGTATGACATTAAACCTTTCTATCTTCATGGAGCCCAAACCAGACCAAATTACAGGTCAGATCTGTGGAGAGGCGACCCTGCTCACAGTCAGAATGCCTAAGTATTTTTGAGCTATAAAACCACCTATAATTGAATAAATATGAAGTAGAGCTGTTTAATGTCATACTGTGGAACAAGCAGATGACTAAAAAGTTACTTAGTGCATCTTCAAGTTCTCACAGTTCATGATATCACCCCTTGGGCTTTATTGCATTTATTTTCCCATCATTCTTTGCTTCACCCTTTACCCCATATCATTTGTTGTCACACAGATATACAGTGCATGTAAAATAAGGTCAAATCTTCTACAGACACATCCCGACTTCTAGCCCTGTTTACAGCCGCTTCAGATACAAGCCTGGCTTTGCTCGTGACTCCCCGAGGCGCACCACACCTCCTCGCTCGGTAGCTGCTGTAGGCCTGACGCGCACCTTAAAATAAACATGTCCGAGCCCCACCCAGCACCCAAAAGGAAGCCAGCACCCGATCACCCCGTGGCCCCAGTAAATGAGCCGTCAGCGGTCGTGACAGTAAGCATTACACTGGCCACTGCTGCTGCTACTGCTGTGGTGGATTTTAGGTTATGAGATGGAAAAGGCGAATATTTTTTCCCATCATTGTCACAGCCAAGACAGAAAACAGACATAAATTCAATTAGAGTGTAGGTCAGTGGAGGAGTGTGTGTGGGGCAACAGGAGGACAGGCCTGGAGAGTACTTCCATGTACTTCTCTTCTAATGTAACCCAGTACCACCAACCTGTCAGGATACAGGACGGATGTTGTTGTTGTGTTTTAAAGGTACACCACGTAACTCTTCTGCTTTCCATACAGATGTTATTGCTTTGACTGGAATATCCCACAGTATGGCATGAAACTTATCTCCATCGTGATGAGTAGATGATGCCACAAGTTCGAGTTACAGGTCAGATCTGTGGAAGAACAAACCAATAACTGGGTGTATTTTCAAGTAATAAAAACACCTGTAATTAAATACATGCATTAGAGATTAGTTTAATGCCATGCTCTAGAATGTTCCAGGCATGTTGCATTAGCCTGATTCATCAGCAGGTTTCACTTTGTGGAAACCGTCTGAACTCACAGCATTACGATTCATTCACTCGACGGTAGGCGGGTACTTTTTTAATTTAACCAGTTGCTGCTATTTGGTCGTGACATATATAATGCGCCAAATCCAGAGGTGGGGACTTGCAAGTTGTGACGTGGAGTCGAATCAGACTCCAGAGATTTAAAAAGGAAAACTTGACATTTGTACAACTCTTATATAGTCTATAAATACTCATATATAAATATACTATGATTTTTAAAAGTACAATTTAGTTTAAAATTCATATAAATTACAAAAATCTAAGCTATGTTTGGTACTTTGGTTTAAAGACTTGAAATGACTTGAAGCTCAAAGCAGACGACTTGGGCTTGACTTGGACTTATGGGTCAGTGACTCGAGATTTGATTTGGACTCACCTGTATTCGACTTCCCGTAGGAAGAAGGGCAATAACGTCTTTCCCCTTGATAAAATTCACTAAACATTCTCTTTGTTCTGGCTTTAAATCCTCGATCTCAGGAATCGTTGCCAACACAGAATGTGTTGTGTGCTTTGTTTACTGTTGTGCTGTACCACAAAAGGGACCCAGACAGGTGCTTGTGTTTGTCGTCATGGCTTCACGGCTCTTCGCTGATTGACCCATTCACGGTCTACAACTCCTGGGGTTCTTGCAAACCTTGTAGTTTATTCCGATTCCTGACCTAGTCGCTGGAGAGAAATTAAATTGAGTGGAGGCATGAGGTTTTACCTTGTGCACCTTTAAAACACTAGTAAATAAATGATATATAAAACATACATTGAAACAGATAATTCTCCTTTTGAGTAGAAATTTTAAACATACTAAATATAGAAATAAAATGTGTTCAACAGTACGGCAATAATATCTGTTTATGTTTTACGTGCAAAAAAAGACCTTAATAAAATGCATTCTTATTAAATCTTGTGCCCTAATGACATTGCCTGCTTGTCTATAAACATAAAAAGCACAAATACATTAAACAAATGCATTATATATATAAAAAAAATCTGCCTATATATATTTTTTAGAGATACTATTAAAACTTTCTCCAACTTCCTCTTGTGCTGCTGCAGGACCGGGCCGTTTCCCAGGCAAATCTATTAAACTCCACGGATCATTTCACTTCCCACTTTGCCATTTTTCATTTAGCTCCATTTGCATTAGCTGAAATCATCACCCACACACAGTACGTACACAACACACCCATTTCCATTCTGTTGTTGCCGTGTCGCAGCTCCTTCCCCGTACGCACAAACTAGGCCAAACCAGAATCCCTAATGCGCCCAAGTGTGAAGAAAGTCATACTATTCAAATCATGGAATTTCCAGCTCTGCTCTGGCTTGTCTTTGCATTAAAATCTGCGAAGCATCTAAAGTTTGATTGGCGTTTCACTTTATTACCGAATATAAGAGATGAGATAGAGCTGTTTTGATATTTATGATGCTGCTAGCAACGCCTTGTCTGTGCCTGCCCTGAACTCGATTTTTTTTCATCCAAATTTCTTTTTTCTTTGTTTTAATTGAAGCAGTGTTTTACCTGTGTGGGTGTGTTCTCTACTGCCACCAGCTGTACTCATGAATAATTTGGGAGTGTTCCAGAAAGCTTACTCTGTGCTGATTGATAGTGATGGAATGTTATTTTACACAAAACTTACTCATGATTTATTGAGATTCTCGCAACATGTTCTGTACATGTTTTTGTGTACTGGCTGCAAGGTAAAGTGAGGTGAAATATATCGACCTGTTTCTTTGGTCTCAGTTTGACGGGGAATATTTATCAGGGACAGATCTTGACGAGTGTCTAGTTTGAAGACAGGTTTACTTTGAAGTGGTAAACTACACTTGAAAGTAGCCCACCCAGACACAGAGAGAATATGCAAATTTTACACAGACAGATCTCACACAATTCAGGAATTGAATCAGGATTTTTTTCCTATGAGGTGATAATTACCGTATTTTTCAGACTATAAGGCGCACTCAAAATCCTTTCATTTTCTCAAAGTGCACCTTATGTATTCATTCTGGTTGTGCTTAATCCACTTCCACTGAGTCATGTCCTTTAGTCTAACAGAAGCTGATCGCATCGCAGCTGTTTTTTTTTTGTTTTTGTTTTTCCAGAGCTTATAGTTTATGCAAATTAGGCATGTGGTTTTAAGTTTTGTTTCTGTGCCAAGCTGTGTTAAACACATTATTACTCAATGTATATTTGAGTCCTCCTCGTAGGAAAAAAAAAAACTTAAATTATCAACCCACATTCACTTTCATAACACACATTCACCAAGACAGGGAGGCAACACCGGGCGAGGTACGTCACGATCTGCCAATGGATCACTCTCAAGTGTCGTCCGTTTGTTTTTCTCAGTGCGCCTTATAATCCGGTGCGCCTTGTAGTCTGAAAAATACGGTAGTGATGGTCTTTACCATTTTTGCTTTGATTCTATATCCAGTAATACAAGGGCAAGTATTGCATTATTGATCCAATATTGATATGGCTTTTGTATGAAAATTAAATGAAAATTGGCTGAATCTGGTATCTGTTTCATGATCATTTAAGCCAATATCTGGGATGTAATAAAATTTTTTTTACAGCCTGATTTTGGTATCTCAATAATGTTTGAACTGTTACTCATACAAAGCTGTTCAGTAGTGATTTGAAGGATAAATAACAGTTATGTAACACAATTGGATCTCTGGTGTAATAAGTGATAATTTTAAGCTCCATTTTCTGTCTCTAAACTGGTATCGGTTAATTTAAAAAGTGTACTTAGGGTATGTAAATTTAAAGTATTGATATCAGTATCGGTATCCCGAAAAATGCTCTGAAGCT